TTGCTCCGTCAGCCGACCTCCCACTCTTTTCATCCCCCGTGCCACCCCCAACCCCGGTAGCATCCAGGCCGTTCCCACGCAGTCGTCACTTCCCGTCGGTGATCCACGCGCACGTACACAAAGAACCAACCGGTGAACCGATGGCGCAGTCAGCACCACGGTAGGGTGAACCGTGACGTACGTTACGGTACAGATTCCAGAGGATGCGGTTAATTGCCACCACTTCCGGACCCTTCACCCTCGGGGAACAGAGGCCCGGATCAGTCACGCGACTTTGCGTCAATCTGGTGCGTCCATTGACGGACCATCCGCGGGGCATGGTCGCGCGCCCGACTGTAATTAGAATTACGTCAGTCAGCTGCATTCTGCCACCTGTGTAACGATGCGGTCATACTGGCTGCCGCTCGGGCGGTTCGGCCAGCGTCTTTCGGCTACGAATCTTTGACTTTGACTTCGACTTTGATACTGTAGAAAATCGATTTTTTCGGTTGAGAGATTTGTTATTAATATTATTATTATTATTTATTTATTTATTTACGGGGAGAAGCAATATAAAATGATCACGGATTACCTCTAGGAGTCATGAAGACGATGTATCCGACGCTCAAAACACGCTGGGCCAGAAAGAGAATCGAAACTGGTTAGGAAAGATGGTGAATCGGTTCTTAGAGTTTGATTCTGAATCGATCGGTGTATCGATTCGTACCATTTGATGTTGAATCGATACTTTGAGGTCTATAGAACATTCCTACTTTGGGCTACCCGATCCGTTTAGCGATCCCGGTGTAGGTATAGTCGTACCTAGGACCTTTGAACAATGCAGGTATACTTAAATTTGTAATACGCGAGGATCGATGGCGCTTTCGCTTTGAGCTTTATCAGTGGACAGCGGATCTTTATGCAAAATAAAAATGTTACGCATCGATTGCAAGAAACGAGAACTACGCAGATATTTATTCCTGTCTTGAATTACTTCGACAATTTCTAAGTTCTTCTAATAGTGTAGAGATAGAGTAGATTTTGGGAATTATTCTACTTATTATTAAACAGTGACGCGCACAAAATACAATAGAAAAAGACAGTAAAGCAGTATATAATGTCGTTAAATCTCGGCTCTTATAATAGCATCACTGTTTTGTTTATCGTTCATTCATTCTCTTTATTTGCTTATTTATTTGTTTATTCATTACTAATATTTCTTTGTACAAGATGATATGAATATTAGCAGCCATTTTAATTGCAAATCCAAAATAGATTTTCTAACCTATAGTATATCCATTTCATGTAATCTGCTTTTTAGACATATGAGATTGAATTTTGCGACTCGTGCAACACTTGCACATTTAACAGTTTTTCAAATATAAACGAATTCGATGATGTTACTTATTATGTAACGTGATAAACCAATTTTTAATGGCGCTTTGCAGTCGTCACTTTCCAAAGCGTAAAGAGTTATTATACAAACTTTTTAATTGTAGATTGCAGACTCGGTTTATAAAGGAAGAATTTTTGTCATAAATGCATAACAATAATCTATTTACTAGAAACAAGCTTCCACTACAATCGCGAACAGGTGAATTTCATCTACAGGAGAATGTCGTCGAGTTTACATTAAGAATCAGGATCTAAACACGATCTTCGCTCGTCGAGCCTCTGGCATTACGTTCGCAACCTTGAGACGAACGATTTTGAAGAAATTGAATAGTCGAATGCGGTCCCCGGCAAGGAGTTGAAGGGTGCGGTAATTGTTCAAATTGATTAGACGTGTCCCTCCCGGCAGCAGCGCTGCAACCCTCTGGAAATAGACTGCAGGGCTTTGCTGTGGGTCCGATAGACCCAGCGTAAAGCATGGAAGGGCTATCGACCGTGGAAGATTAGTTCCTCGTAGCGGATTCGCCTTTCGAAAATAAACAAAAGGCGCAGCTAATTGCTAAAGGATGATCGTCGGAAGGAGGCGGCAGAATCTCCAGCGACCAAGTCCGAGGCTGGATGGTTTTAATTAAGCAGGCCGCGCGCGGCATGCTCGGTAATACGAGCGTGGGCAATATTGAATTTTGAGACGTCTCCGTCTCCGGCATGGTAACCCTTAATGGCTCATAATCCGTGCCTCGCGGAGTCGATAGTTGCATGGCCTATTAACGAGCTGGCAAGGCGAGGCATGGCAAGGCGTTGTACCATTCGATCATGAATTAACCGAGGCCCTTCGGTATCGATCCCTCCTCCGTTTACCAGCGGCTGGCTCTCCATTGTGTAACACTAATAATAGAAATTGATTTATGAGACAGCGAATCTGTCATTAAACCTGAGACGGTATCATAACTGGAATGAAGAAAGCCTGCATCCCTGGAATGCTTCTGGAGTACCGCCCACGGGTGACTGGGTAACACACCTGTAACGAAACCTCTGACGAAACTATACTGTCTCTCAACATGTCAGGCTTAATCGAGCAATTGTCTCGGGACATAAATCCTCCAAATTATGTAATTTCGCGTTACAATAACGGGGGTAACGGTCGCTCGGGCCGCGCCAACAAACGTATCCGCCGCGTTCTATCCAATTACACGTTCAGCCGCGGAAAAATCAAACGTCGCTGGCTCGAATTAGAGTATCCGTATCGTTCCCTTGTGTAATTGCACCGGTGTCTGTCGCCGCCGCAACGAACAAAGCGGACCAGGAGATCATGAAACTCCCGGCTAGGCGGCGTCGCTCGGTATCATCCTCTACGCTCCACATTGATCTACACGATTCGGCTAGTCTATCCATCGGCGCAGATCGCTAGAACAAACGCGCGAACAACGAAACCATCTCCAAGGTCCAAGTTCAAAGCGTCCAGCTTCCCATGTTGTTCCATGATTTTCTACTTTCCGCTTTTTCTCGGAGGAAAAGCGTAACTCTAGACGAAGCTTGTATGACGTCATCACGGTTAAATGAAACAGGTCGGTCCGCATGCAGGAAAGTCTCTAAAAATCAGCAGACGAGATCAATATCTCGCAGCGGGTCTTCCAGACGACCGCGGCTCCCGACGATGCGCGAGAACGGCCACCTTCACACTTCCGGTCCATCGATAATTAATCATCGTCCGTTTCTGGCAAGCGGCTTGCCCCGAGAACGTTCGCCGAGCCTCGCGAAAACGGGCCAAAAGTGCGACGAACAGAGAAGGCGGCGACGGATGATGAAAATAATCCTCGGGAGCGACGAGGCCGGACCGCGAACGAGCGAGACGGACCAAAGTGCAAGATGCATTTTCCGTCCCCGGTAACTACGGAGACCGAGGTGAAGGAGGGGGGAGCGCAGCGATCGATGCAATTCGTCATCGAATGATCGCTGACATGCGGCTGACCCGGGTCTTTCGCGTGTAATGCAATTCTGCGTGAATCGTAGCCGAAATTTTGTCTTCGCGTTGCAAGACCACCGCGACGCAAGCTGGCAAACATAGCAGATTCTCGACTATGCGATCTAATCGGGACGAAATTGACGTTCGGATAACGGAGAAGCAAGGTAGCAGTGGATTCGGATCGCATCGTCTCCAGGTGGAACGTGGGTGCAAGATGCGTGGGCTCCGAAGATCCACTAAACCAAAAAGCAGCCTTCTTCCCTCCCCATTAAGTTGTTCTATTTTTAATAAACATTTCTCATTAACAATATTATTCCAAGTACAGTGGACTCTTGGTGAAGCAATCGTGAAAAAGAGATGACGTTCGCATAACGGATCAAGCGCCGAATCTGCGCCGTGTCCCCGCGCGGAACGTTAGGACGAGGAGAATCTGTGAACCGATGGCATCTTTAAGACGTCACAATGGGGCAAGGGGTTGGAGACCTTGAGGGCTACCTTGGGTCATCAAGGGCAGTGAATCCTGCGCGTAATTCGGAAGCGGAGTAGGAGGAGGAGGAAGAAGCAGAAGAAGAAGAAGAAGAAGAAGACGAAGAAGATGAGGAAGAAGCATGAACGGTCCGCGTGCCGTGGTTCGGGTTGTGTCGGGTCGGGTTGCGTGGGGGTTGCTGTGTAGGGCTGGGAGGGGGGTTGGGTGACCGGTAGGTGGTGTGCTGACGTCACTGTAGCGGCATCATCGCCGCGTGGGCCAATCGGGACGCTCACTCGAGCCAGGTCCATCGATCCGCCGGCTGCTGTTGTGTGTCCCGGGTTATGACGTCCGCGGGGTGACGTCATCGTTAGCGCCGTTCTCCGTTCGCCGCTGCCACCGCCGCCGTCGCCGCCGCTACACACGCTACGGTTTTAATATAGCGGAGGAACGCGCGCGATCCGGACTCAGTTACGCGGCGGCCGGCCACCCGTGCGATAGCGTGTCGCTTTCTTGCTAAACGTCCGTGCTGTTTTTCTCTCTCTCTCTCTCTCTCTCTCTCTCTTTATCTATCTATCTCTCTGTGTTCGCCAGTCGAACTCGGCTTAGATCTAACACACTGGTACTAGCCCGTTCTCGCTGTCTCTGTTTATTTTCGGCAAGTTTCTCGAGTCAGCTGTCGGGGGTGAATCTTTTGCCCGGTGTTCTTCCTGGTTCGGCGTCGTTCGCGTCCGTTCACCGCCGGTTTTATTATCGGCCGATCGCGGACCGCTAGTGAGAGAACCTGGTTGGGATTACACACGAGGATAAGAAGAGGAATAACAGGAAGAGGCGAGACGAAGGCGGAAGAGGGATAGGAATAGGAAGACGGTGGTGCAGCCAAGGACGTTTGTGTTTGAGTTTCGCGTCACCGACGCCGGAGAGAGGGAGGCAGTCGCAGCAGCGTTGTATCGCGTGGTTCCGCGTGCGGGACTCGCCTCGTTGTGCCTCGTGCTCAGCGTTCTCCCTTGGGAACCTAGGGGACAGAGAGTCGGAAGGTAGTGTGCACCAGCGGTTACCGAACTGGTTCGAACATCTCGGGATCCTCGAGAACAGCTGCCGAGAAGATCACAGTGAAGCTACGATGTCGTTGACGGAAGAACGATAATTCGGAGGTTTTGTGGAGGACTGATTACAGAAGGCTGCATGAGAGTGCTCAGGGCAGAGGTGTTTGGGCTCCTTGATGGAGCGCTGACCTCCGAGGACGTCCGGAAGGCTTCGTCGAGCCCAACGACGACGCACACAGGTCGGTGATCCACGTGTGTCCTACATCATCATCATCATCATCACACACCACTACTGCCACTACCACCTTCATCATCACCACCATCGTCACCATCACCATCATCATCGTCATAATCATCATCATCGCTGTTCTCAATGTTTTCCGTGTGTTGTGGGTGAGTTGTGTGTGTTACGGGGGTGGATCGCACCAGCCACGGGCGTCCCGTCCTCTCGTTGTGTGTGTCTCGCTCGCTCGTTCGTTCGTTTTCGTACCGGCTAGATAGATCACACACTCGAGAAATCCCGTGGTCCCGCTGACTGGCACAACCGGCGTTCACCAGCCGTGAGAATTATCGACTGCGAGGTTTCGTCGGCGCCGCTCCCCCCTCCCGTTTCATCCCCTTTCACTTTCACCCGTTTCTGCGCGCCGCCTCGACGCGATAGATCCCCGATTTTCTTATCGACGAACTGTCCCGTACCCGAGCGGGAATTCTTCGCGGTTCGGATCGCGATCGGTGAGGACTGTTTCGCGGCAGCCGTGTGTCGCGGCACGGCCGAGGAGCGACGCGATCAGGGTTGGTCGGTGTGTCGTCGCACGTGCAGCTCTCTCGCGGCGCGTCCCGGCCGCGCGCACGTGCGCGGATTCGCGGATTCGCGTGACACTCGGAAAACGAGGAACGCGGAGAGGAACTGTGCCGCGGGATCCGTTCCGTAGGATGGTCGCGATCGGCGCGGCCATCGATCCTCCGCGCTGGGACATTTGAGAGACACTACTGCGGGGGGGACGCGCGCGGGCTAGAAGTGGAAGAGAGAAAGAGGGACCCAGGCCCCGTTAAGCGCCCGTTGGTCGACTGGTCGCGGTGAATGAGACGAGCAAAAACGAGGCGCGAGAGTGCTGATCGTACGTGCGATGCGTACCGTCGAGGAGACGGCCACGGAAGCAGCCGCGGCTGACGCCGCGACCACCCACCAGCGCGCTACCACCGGCAGGCATCTGCTCGTCGATCAGAATCACGAGCTCGATCACGATCAGCGAGATCGATCGGCGACGATCCATCTGCCCGGTACACCGTACCACCAGGTCACCATCGCGGCGGACACCAACAACAACCATGACCATCATCGGAACCTCGAGCATCACGCGGCGCAACGCCACGATCATTGGAACAAGTGTAAGTTTCACGATTTCAAAACCGAGCGAAACGCAGCGAGACCGCAACACACAGGTGTATTGTTAGAATGACGAACGAAAGACCACGGGACCGTCCTGTCTCTATAGTTTATTTGCCGTCGGTGCACGAAAGGATGCTCGCAGAAATTGTGCTCGCTGCTCGGACAGGTTGTGGTTGCGGTGCTGGTGGTGGTGGTGGTAGTGGTGGTGGTGGTGGTGATGGTGGTGGCGACGGTCCGATTGACGGTCGCATCGACGATCGGATCGACACCGTGCTAACGATGATGGAGATGGATCGATCTCGGTGCGCCTAGCCTGCCTTTTCGGGATCGCCGAGTCTCCGATCGTCTTTATGCAAATATTAACGACGACTCCGATCGAGCGTTTCTCTTTCGCGATTTCTAATTACCGGCGTAACGATTGATGATCTTGCCGGGATTGTCGGGCTGCGAGGCTGCCGGCTTTTGGAATTTATTTAATCTCGGATCCGCGCGCGCTGGGCGCAGATTCAGCCGGGCTCGGTTGGGTCGCGCGTTAACGGTACAGTAATGTCTCCCTAATTGTCACCCAAATTGTGCACGAAAATGGACAATTTGGGAAGAGGAGATACGATTGTTCGATTGTTTTTATAATTGTTGGCAACCCGCAACTGCAAGGCTCGAATAATCGTATCTCCTCTTCCCAAATTGTCCACTTTTGGTGCGCAATCCGAGCGTCAATTAGGGAGACTTTACCGTATTTCGCGGCCGAATTCGGGCAGATCGCGCTCGATTGACACTTCGACTGCCTCGTCGGCTCGTATGTAGGCGACACGATCATTTGCTTTATTCTGAAAATTAATTTTTACGATCTTTTTGGATTTTAGTAGGATCAGCGAAATATAAGAATATTGAACGGATTTCGATGTTCGTTCGATTTTATAAAATACTTTACGAAATCGTTTAGTCTTCTGATTTGGCAGTCGAAGCGTCAAACCGCGATTTTTTTATACAAACGAACAGCCGAATTTCGAAATCGCGAATCACGCTACCACATCGACTTGCTAACCCACTTCGCTCGATGCCATTTTAACTCTACATCCGAAATAGTTTTTCTGATCCGCGGCACTTGTATTTTTATAGAAATACGTTTCATTCGTACGAAATCGATTCGCGTCACACATACAACAGTTTCTTAAATATAACCTCCGACGATGTAAAAAGCATTTTTAAACGCGACATAACAATGTCCAGCGACGCCTCAGAATCATCGCTCGGTTAAACAGCTTTAACATCGACGAACAAAGGCATTCATTTTCATTGAACCTCTGCTTCTCGCGATCGAGCCGGACTATTTTTATCTCGCGTCCAGATCCGCGGTTCGATCGCGATTCGGTTAGCTCCGAGTACCAGCCGTTGAGCACACGGTTGAAACGCGTTGGATTAGACGCGGACACGCAGCTTTGGCTAAGCAAGTAGAATAGGCTGGGGTGGATCAGACGTACGAACAGGTTGGACGCTGCACGTGTCCCTCTGTCATTCTTCCGCGATGCACGCGGATCGAGCGCAGTTGGCCGCGGCGGATCCTGCGAAACGGCGGAGCGTGCTCGATCGGACGAAGCGGGCAGAATTGGGCGGGCGAATTTGTCCATCCCCGATGGCAGATAATCGCGGAGACCTTTTAACCGGGCCGGAGCGAAGACAATGGCGTGCGCGGAGCGAAGTCGCGTGCGTTCTCTGGAAAACGAAAAAGGTTAATGGGCATGGCATTAAAGAGGAAAGAGCGAGCGAAAAGGAGATGAGGTGCGAACGATAGAGCGAAGGGACGATTTCAGCCCCACTACACTCTCTATTCTCCCGCAGCCAATCGATTCAGCAGCTGCGAAAACGATCTAAAGGTTGCGGCTCCGGGATTGGCTGGGAATGCGCTTTGACGCGTATCCTTCGGAAAAAGATCCCCGCGAGAGGGTACACCGGGGCGCCGTCCGGCGACCGTCGCCATCGACTGCCGCGAAAAAGAAATTAATTGATCGAGCCAACCGTCGCGGACCGTTTGATCGAGGCCCGCTTGAATTATTCAGCCGCGCCTGTATCTTCGGCCCCAGCAACAGATCCCCTATTTAAGGACGATTACGTCTGTTAGAGGAGCACCCCGGCAGCCTTTCTGAAAAAGAACCGAGACTCGGCCCGTTAACTCGGCGTCGTCCCGCGTGCCACCGAAATAATCCCCGCGACACTCAAAATCGGCTCGACGATCGCAAATAGATCGGCGATTGAATAATTCAAACTTATTCTACTCATAAATCGAGATCGACCGGCAGAATCGCCGAAGTACTCCGAGCGAGTACGCAGCAAAGATCCGAGGACGGTGCGCGAATTGAACGTTTGCTGCGCGGCGCCGCGATAAATAGAAAGACGAGTGCTCTAAAAATAATGATCACCGTAGATATCCGCCGAAACCGAGGCCCGCAGGCGGCTTCCTCGTAGGTTTTCCTCGCCGGATCAAAGACACTTTCGTGGCGTGTGGTCGAAACCCCATCGTTCGATCGGATATAGCGCCGCGATACGACCGTTTTACAGGTGTAATCGGCACGTTAAGGTAAATATAGTCTGGCAGTCGGCCGAGTGCACGGCAGTCAGCCTGGCCGGCTAACAGGCAGCTAGTCAGGCAGGCTGGCTGGCAGGCAGGCGTTTCTTTTCCGCGTGCATAGTTGGCCCGCGCGGGACCTGCCCCGCAGGAAAGAAGAGACACCTCGAACAAATATAACTCGCGGCGCGTGTGCAGGTGCGGTCACCGGCTCGGGCCACCCTTGGGCCTCTCTCTCTCTCACTCTCTCTCTTGTTAGCGAGCCGCGAAAAACCGGAGCTCGCCGGAGTAACGGCCGTGACAATGGTTAAATCAACGCTTATGACTTCCGCGCGTTCCACGGGGCCCAACGCTCCGTGTCGCTGCCGGGGCCCGTTAGCCAGGCCGTTTCGCTATCGATAGTCGATCGGCTGTCAGTCCGACCGTTACGTGGGCACGTGATTGCGATATACGCCAGTTTCGGCCCTCGAGAAAAACCGGCGACGTACTAGCTCTACACAGCCCGGCTCTGATAAACATATCGACCGAGAGATCTCGGGTCTCGTGATCGCAGGAAATACTCTGCGACTGTTTCGCCCTGTTTCCTCGTAATTCCTGACGAGCCCGGGATTCAGATCGATCCCGATAGAGGATGCACCTCCTGGAATGGCTGCAGTCCCACTGCGGATGTTTAGCCGGAATAGACGTTCCCTGCGAATGTTGCAGCGGCGGACACGTTGAATCTCTTTCGTTAATCGTTTCGGTAGGTGCACGGTATTCCCGATCGATTCTTTCGAATCTCTGCGCTGTTCGAAATTACAACGGTTCGCGAAGCTGGTCGCACGACTTCTAAAACGGAACGACTATTTTTTACAGTCGGACCAAGCGATTTTAACACTTCCACGACCGCGCTAGAAAGCTCAAGAATTTTCTTAAAATTAAAATATTTCGTTCGATTAAACAAAAATTATGAAGCATACTTATATGGCATCGATTACTTCTCCAGCATTCGTACCTCTTGCAGATCTTAATAAAATTAGGCAATCATTTTTAATTGTTCATTAATCATCCATTCGGTCGTTAACCGACTGAACTTAAAACGGGGAGATCTCCCCGTTCGGTTGGCTAAGTGTTGAGTTTCTGGCGGATTGTCTGACTTTTCATTCTTGGACGGATTAATTTACTAGACAGTGGTTAAAACACTGCAATTGGTCGATCTGTGCCTATAATGAGAACTTAAAAAATACATTTAGTATGAATCGATTAACGTTGTCACGAACCGTTAATGTTCAAAGTTCGCGAAACATAGCAGTTTTTCTTTTTACGTTAACGGCAGAATATTTTCCGATTATTAATCGCAGATCAGAAATAGTTTCAGAGACGTGTATTCCCGGCAACGGGAAATCGCGGACGAAAAATTGTTGAACAGAAGCGAAGGCGACGGGTTTCGGAGTGGGGCGGAATTCGTCGGGATCGGGGCACAGCGAACAAGTGGTTCGAAACTTTCGTGCTGTACTGTATGGCTGTTATATTTGACGCTCGCGTGTGAGAGTGACACGTCCCGTTCGCGAGAGAGTGTATGTTAATAGGCCCCGGTGTAATCGTGCGTCGGACGTTTCGACGCGCAAGTAGTTAGGTGCAATCAGACTCGGACATTAGCGGGACGTGCATCTGAGCCGGCCGTCTGAGCTGGCACGTCGGTAACTACTTAATTCTTTTTAAACGCTCGGCGCACCGTTCGCAGTAAGGCCCAAGAGACGAGCCGTGCTCTCCTCGGCGCGATGCTCGCGCGCATACGCAATCGACGATAAAATCTTCCGCCGTTATTCCGCGAGATAACGACCCGTAATTTATTTTATTATGAATAATTATCGGATCGGCGGGACCGCGGAACGCGGAATGTGGGTCGCCGGACGATCGGTATGGTAATAACATTGTATCCGCCGCCGGTGGATCATCGCTCTCGGCATCGTTCGGCTTCGCAGATTCATCCGTGCAATCATTACAAATCGATTAGACGCGATCGAACCGCGCGGCCGTCTAGGCAAATACGGATACGCCGGCCCGGCGATTCGCAGTGAACTGGTTCCGAACATTTCACATTTGTTTACATAGTACGAAGAAAAAACTCGTTACACTTTATCAGCAATCGCCGGTGATCGCTCGATTGCTCTTCTTTGCGACCGCGTCGAATGCGTAGGAAACCGATCTCCTTTCTTCACGACGGGGAAAAACAACAAGCCCGCGCCAACGTTTGCACGATTAACCCGTTGCACGCATCGGTTTCTCGGAGTCGGAAGTTTCTTTCCTCGGAGACGGGCGCGCGCCGTTTGATTCGCGTATAGACAATATTGTGGTAGTCCTAGTTTTTCCAGGAAAAAATTATCCGATAAAAATACCCGCGGCTGACCTTCTTCGTGCTGTAAAGACACTATTCATAGGTACGAATCTTTTTTC